AGACCATGACAGCAGCCTTATGGCACTATTCAGAGAAATAAAGAAAAAAGCCTGACCCTTATTTGCAGTAAATGTAAGTTTAATAAGTCCACGTTTGAGATCTTTGGATTTGTGTCCTCAGAAAATAGCATACAGTATCTGCTGACTTCAGGAAGGTGACTAGAGTGCAACACATCATTGCTCTAACCATTGCCAGTAAAATGCTAGTCTTACAGACATAACGAACGCTGTTTTGAACACTAACTGTTCTTGATATGATTTGATGGTTTTAGCATTTAATGATATAAATCCATGTAAATTTCAGTCTTACTGTATATGACTGTCCGGCCGATTGTGTGCTTGAGTACAGCAGTGGGTGCACATGCGATTAGGGAATAGGCATCTTGTGAGTTTTTAGAAAATAAAAGTAAAAAATACTGAGAACAGCCTTCTTGATCTTACAGTTCATAATGCAAAATAACAAAATCAGCTGTGTAAAACATTGTATGTTTTTTTTCACAGTTATTATTACTACAAAGGGTCCCACTTTAGTTTGAGGACCAATTCTCACTATTAACTAACTATTAACTACGACTTCTGCCGTAATAAACTCCTAATTTGCTGCTTATTGATAGTTAGTAAGGTAGTTGTTAAGTTTAGGTGTAGGGTAAGATCTAAAATATGGTCATGCAGAATACGATATTAATATTTGCTTTATAAATACCAATAAACAGCCAATATGCTAGTAATATGCATGCTATTAAGCAACTAGTTAAAAAGTGAGAATTGGTCCCTAAACTAAAGTGTTACCCTAGTTTTACCAGCTTTCTTTTGTTTTTCATCTTTAAAACTGTATATTGACATTCAGTAAGACTGTGCAACACTGTGCACATTGCAAATTAACATATTATAATTCAATTATGTAGATTAATTTGATCTAAAATTGCAATTTTTATTTAAATGGATTCTATATCAACAATGTGTTTATTAGATTTATTATACATTTAATATTCATAATAATATACATATTAATATACATAATAAATAGATTTATTATGCAATTCGTTTGCAGCCAATGCCAGCAGAGCTCTTATTGATGGTGGAAAATGATACTCACAGACAGAGCGTGAAGGTTGCTATTGTGTGGAGATGTGAAAACACTTTCACCTCTACATCTATGGCAATCCATTTATACTTGTAACAAGTCATTAACCCATCAAACTCAATTGTCAACAGAAACTCAATTGTCAAGATGGCGCCGACGCTGATGGCTGCCTCCGTGGCGTGCTCCGTCTGAACAATCAGTTGCAAACAGGTTTCAGGCCATCTGCTTGAACTGAGTGTTTTCGTTGTTAAATACAGAAAAGGGTCAGACAATCCAAGTGACATTGTCTATCACGCCAGCCTATTTCTACACCCTCAGTCTTCTGTGAATTGAACAACATACTAACAGCCTTGACTCTTGAATAAATCAGAGTCTAAACAGTCCAGTTTCTTCAAAAGTGTTTTCTCCAAGGTTTTGATTAAACACCATCCGGTGAGATCTCTCAGGTCTTCCAACCAGAGATTATTAGTTGTCCCAAAGCTTTGGAATAGTCTTCATGCTTTTACATTACATCTTAAGAACAAATCACTTCTCCTTTACTTACAATCAATAGTGCATTTGCTGAGTTATATTCCTGTTATGTAGTGTGTTTATATGTTATATGTTTATCTTCTTATCTTGCTCTAGTTTTATTTTATGTATGGCCTCATATTTGCCATCCTATTTTGCAATCATTGTTCTGAACCTGAGACCTGTTGTTGTTGTTGTGTGCTCTAAACTGACCTTCACCTTTTCGCTCATTCACATGAGCTCATATAGCTTGATGACTGACATTAAGTGCCATGAACAGATCTTCTGCAGGCTCATGAGTCACATCAGACTATTGAAAAGTCAAAGACCAAGACAGACGAAATATCTTGTTTTATTTTCTTAGCTTAATTATGAGTTGAGGCTGTCCTGGCCTTCGAGGTCACAAGTCATAGCAGATGAGGACACAAGGACAGACACACTTGTAAGTATACATTTGTAAGGTCCCCCATGCAATCTAGAAAACTGCAGCATACACTGTATCATGAAACAAATACAAAGATACAAAGTAAATGGATTTATGCTCTCAAAGGAATGGCCTTCACCCTCAGTTCAGCTCTACTACGTAAATTGAAAGCGAAAAACACAAAGATGTCTTCAAAAACCCCCTGTGGGTCTTCAAGTTTTTAATGTTGTTTACATGTCTGTCTGGTGTTTTTAATGTGACAAACCATGTGCAAATTCATTCATACAGAATTTTCTCTTTAAAACAGCGGTGTACACTCTTAAAAATAAAGGTGCTTCACGATGCCATAGAAGAACCTTTTTTTCTAAATGGTTCCATAAAGAACCTTTAACATCTGAAGTGGCAAAAGAAGGTTCTTCAGATTACATAAAGGTAAGAAAGAGATGGTTCTTTAAAGAACCTTTGACTGAATGGTTCTTTGTGGACCCAAAAATGGTTCTTCTGTGGCATCGCTTAAAGAACTTTTTGAAGCACCTTTATTTTTAAGAGTGTACCAAAATGAGTCTCAAAAATGCAGTTTGAAACAGCCCCTGTTTCCTACGTCACAAACAATCCTGTCAACATGCGGGGTGGGGGAAAAGATTTCTATTTACAATGTGTTTTTGAAAAAAGCATTTAAATATGTAATTTTGATGATCAAAGATTTATGAGATAAAATGATTTACTACAAGGGTTGGTGTGACGGCTCAGCTGCAAAATAAATTGCTGTGGTTGGTCAGCATGTATGTATGTATGCATGTTCAATAATATGGAAATAAAACAAACTAATAATAAATAAATAATTGGCACATCAAGTAATTTATTAAATATTAACTCTGGCAGAGTAGCCTACTTAGACGCTTTTTGACAGTAAACGGTTCAGTAAGTTTGCACTAGCTTGGATTTCACCACTGCAAGATGACAGGATTCTGGCTGCAGGCGAATAGATCTTCTGAAGTTCATGCAGACTTCAGACAAAGCACTTCACGGAGCTGAAACGGTACAAACAGCAGCTGTGCATCTTTCTAAGAGAACATTGTGCAATGCTACAAAGATCCCCTGCTGAGTTAGTGTTACACAACAAACATCTCAACCTTCCTCGCAGTAAAAGTATGATGTGTCTAATACAGACCTACAACAGACTTACAAAAAATGAAACTGTAGGCTGAATGCCACCAAAATTCATCTCAGACTCTCAGAAGTTGGCTGCAAAGTATTTTACAGACAGACAAAGTTTACCCATTACTCCTTATTCCCCCTCATCAAAATCCTTAACCACATGAACTTTGTAACAATCCTTTGTAACAATCCTTTGTAACAATCTGTTGCAGTACAACCAAGACAACTGATTCAGAAAAATAAACATCCTCCATTGTGTCTGACTACCAACAAAAGTATTTTTTTCACAAAGCCTTTTGTTCCCAATAGTACTTGTTGGATGTTTATTTATAAATGTTAACATTATGATAATCTCTTTTAGACCTTCAATGTGACATTAAACATTAGACTACGTAGATTACTGAATAATTGACGTTATATAATTTTTATTCGTTGTGGAGCAGAGCAACACAGTAAAGAGCATACAACTCAAATGCATTATAGAGTTGCATCTTTTATTACAACTGAACAACACACAAACAAGAGTGGTAATATTCACACCAACAGCACAATCGCAAAAAGTTCATATTTTTTTGATACTGTATTATCAGACTGTTTTTGCTCTGCCAACGTAATCCGTTCCAAATGAAGCCACAGCAGAATCAAGTGTTTCTGACTGAATCAAGGCTGCGTTCCAATCTACCCTAACTGGCCTGTAACATGAACATGCCAGCATGACATAATAATAGCTGTGGGATGTTTCCTTCAGTGACTGTGATCCTTATAAGAATCAGAAGTGACACATGTTCCTATGTCCGTTATGATTAAGATGGAGAAAACCTTCCTTCTAAGCTTTTGCTCTTAATCCTAGAACACCACAATGTTCATTCTATGTATTTATATATATATAGGAGTGGATGTACAGCCATGTTTAGTATATTTGCAGTTAGATTCATATATTTAAGCCAGGCTGGATCTGGATTGTTTTCAGTTCTCTGTATAAGTGAACCTTTAATACTGAATGACATTCTCTCTGTCTATATATTTGTTGGTTCCCCTCCTCTCATTAATTCTTTCGTTAGCTGTCTTACTGTCGCCTACTGTCTCACAATCTCTACCCAATTTTTTCTCTCTCCCACTTCCTCTGTTCTTCAGACTCATTTTCTCTTACACCATCTGTATTTTAAAAAACTCTCTTCGTCTGTCACATCATTATTCATACCCACACATCGACCAGCTGCTGCACAATATTTCCAAATTTAATCAGCTTCTTAAAAGGATCTTCTGGGTTTAATCTCGCAAGAGGTGAACAAAAACAATAGGTCCCCAAGTGACTGAGCTCTGTTCTTCTCATCAGTCTCCCTTATAATCCACTTAGCTAACACCACTCAACACACAAAAAGTGCCAGCTCCACTTCGTAAGCTGAAAGAGTCAAGGGAATGTGTTAAAGTGGTGTCAATAAGTGAAAAAGAGAGTAAGTGAGAGAGAAAACCAAATGGGAGAGAGAGAAAAGGAGAGATCAAAAAGTCCACATTGTAAAGTATGTATGTCAAGTTGCATTAACTGTAAATAAAACTGAGGAAGAAAGCAAGTAGGAAACAAAAATATACTACAGTATTGTATGTACGCAGTAACTGTCTTGCATAGAGAGTAAAATGATCAAATGAACAAGAAATGTATTTAAAGGTGGGCTAAATAATATTATTTAATTTCAATACAGATGCTTGTAAATTATGTCACAATTTGGGAATGATGGTCTAAATTATTATATGAAAAGTGAATGGTTCCTTAAGATATATATGTAATTTCTGCCCTGTTGTTCATACTTCACTTTTCTTCTGCAGGCTGGCCTTTTGGCAGTTTGGTGTGTAAGTTGAGCGGGATGGTGCAGGGAATATCTGTATCTGCCTCTGTCTTCACACTAGTGGCCATTGCTGTTGACAGGTGGGCTAAAAAAAAGTCAATATATTTGTAGTTAATAGTGTTATCGAAATATACATTTTTTTTTGTGTGTGTGTGTTTTATGTACACTATCGCTCAATTCTTTTAAAAGAAGCCTCTTGTGCTCACCAAAGCTGCATTTATTTGATCAAAATACCGCATAAACAGTACTGTAAAATGTTATTACAATTTAAACTAACAGTTCAAATGCCATTTATTCCTGTGATGGCAAAGCTGAATTACTCTAGTCTTCAGTCAGTGTCACATGATCCTTCAGAAACCATCAAAAATCTGATTTGCTACATTTGAAAACATTTGTGCAGAAAAATGACATTTATATTAGTAATAATTTCGTATCTTTTTTTTTACCCTAAACTTCCAAATGGTAGTGTACATTTAAAATTTAAATGTAATAAATGGATTATCTTCACGTTTATATGTATTGTACATTTTTCCTCAAAACGCTTTCTTGAAACACATATTTTCTGTTTCTGTCTCAATGTCCTCTGCTCTGTTTTCTGTCACCCGTCTCTTTTCCTATCTCATTTTAATGTCTTTCCTCACACTCTCTTCCTTGTTTTATATTAATGTGTCAGATTCCGCTGCATTGTCTATCCCTTCAAACAGAAGCTCACTATCTCCACCTCCACTCTCATCATCGTCATCATCTGGGTTCTGGCCATCTCCATCATGTGTCCGTCTGGTGTCATGCTACAGGTCACCAAAGAGCACAGAGTCTCCATCTTGCTAAGCGACGGCAACACCACACAACCCTTCTACTGGTGCCGTGAAAACTGGCCAAACCAGGAGATGCGCAAGATTTACACCACAGTACTCTTTGCTAACATTTATTTGGCACCTCTGACCCTAATTGTCATCATGTACGCCCGGATTGGAATCACGCTCTTCAAAACATCCATGCCTGTCCCTGTGAGCCAAGTTGGGACCTCAGGCTCCGGTTCTAGCGTTGGGAAAAACAGCAGATATGAAAGTCGTCAGCTGGTGTCCCGGAAAAAGAAGCGGGTCATTAAAATGTTGCTAGTGGTGGCCCTGCTCTTCATCCTGTCATGGTTGCCATTGTGGGCACTCATGATGCTGAGTGACTACGCAAGCCTGAGTGAGCATCAGCATCGTATTATTAACATCTATTTTTATCCTCTGGCCCACTGGCTGGCGTTCTGTAACAGCAGCGTCAATCCCATAGTCTATGGGTTTTTCAATGAGAACTTTCGCAAAGGTTTCAAGGCAGCCTTTAAGCTTCAGCTCTGCTCAGCCCATTCGGGGAAGAGAAGGAGCTACTCTCACCGTCTGCAGGGGAACGCTGTATTACCTACCAACTTGCCCCTGACCAAGGAGTCTGCACTGGAGGCTGGAGGTCCGAGACCAGGACAGGTGCTCATCCAAGAGCTGGTGTCGGTGGGCAGTGGGAGGGGTCTAGGTGAAAGAAGCCAGTCATCAGGCAAGGAAAACGTGAAAGAACGGGATCTGATCATGGAAGATCTAGAGAAGGTTTGTGTGTGTACTGTACATGATATTGTTTTGGACCCCTTAAACTCTAGATATCATATACTTTTACATGTATGTAAGATTTTTTTTAATGTATTTATTTAATTGATTAGAAGTGACTGTAAATACATTTATAATGTTTCAAGTTCTCTATTTTAAATGATTGCTGTTTGTTTGAACTTTCTGTTCATCAAAGAATCCAGCGAAAAAAACAAACATGGTTTCCACAAAAATATTAACGGGATAGTTCACCCAAAAATGAAAATTCTGTCATTATTTACTCACCCTCATGTCGTTCTAAACCCGTAAGACCTCCGTTCATCTTCGGAACACAAATTAAGATATTTTTGATGCATTCTGAGAGCTCTCTGACCCTTCCATAGACAGCAAGGGTCCTTACATGGTCAAGGTCCAGAAACGTAGTAAGGACATCGTTAAAATAATCCATGTGACATCAGGGGTTCAACTGTAATTTTACGAAGCTACGAGAATACTTTCTGAGCGCAAAAGAAAAAAAAACGACTTTATTCAACAATTCGTCTCCTCCGCATCACCCTAGTGCCATTTTGGAGAGTATCCACTGAACGTAAATTGCGTATGCTGTTTTGTGTCAGCTGTGCCACGCGGATACGCTGTTTACGTCGTTTACGCTTTGATTTGAACGAAAACAACGTATCCGCATGGCGCAGCTGACGAATAGACGAATTGTTGAATAAAGTCGTTTTTTTTTTTCTTTTGCACTCGTTTGGAACAACATTTTTGGGTGAACTATCCCTTTAAGCAGCATAACAGTTTTCATCCAAATCTGCATCATGGGAACGCATCAGCAATGGCTACTGGGAAACATAAAACATTTTGAAATATTAATACAATTTTACAACTTTTTAATAAAGCTTTTTTCATTTTTTGTATCATATAAATGCAGGTTTAGTGAGCAAAAGAGACTTCTTTCAAAAACATTTAAAAAATCATAAACCCTAAACCTTAGCTTATATAACATTTATACAGAATTTATATAATGGGATATAATGAGAAATACTGATCTCATAAAACGACCTTATTCAACAGGAATTGTGCATTGCAAATTCCAAAATCCACATAATTAAACTGGCAAATAAAAATATCCTTGAGCAGTTTACCATTACAACAGATGCTTTAGTAAATAAACTTTTTTTTTTTTATTGCCAGCCAAGGCAATTTTACAGATGTTCTTCACTAAATTGTCAATTTTCACCCTCCATCTCCTTTTGGCATGAGCAGATTTTTCTAATAGTTTACGGTGGCCGAGAGAGCTCAACGCACTGCAACTTAAGAAAACACATGCAAATTGAAAAAACACCAGCAAATTAAGAAAACATCTTCATCAGTTTGACAACACATGCGCTGCAAATCCTCACAGCACATAGTTGAGCTCTCTCGGCCACCGTAAATAGTCCCTGTTTGGTCTATTTTTATTAAAGAAGGTTTCAGTGACACTGCATCTATCTCAATATTCAGAGAACATTCAGGGTATTATAAATGGTATAAATGTAACTATTGTTTGTCTTTCTTTCTTAGTCAATAAACAAAAATCAAAAAGATTTTTGTTTATTGACTGTGAAGGGTTTCATATGATCGAGCACCTGCCCAAAGTTTTTGGATGTGCGCACATTACACTCTCTTCGTTGTCTTTCTTTCTTCACAGGTAATGTACGATCTATAGATGCTTAATGACTTCATGGAACCCGGTCAAAGATACTGTGTGCTCAGATGATTTGATGCTCATGAAAGGCTGATTTTTCCATTCTCTTTGACTGTTTTACTGCTGGGAGGACAACATGAGTTCATCTTTCATCTCTTTCATCTTCTAGGCAAGGATGTGCTCTGCCTTTTCCTTCTTGAAATTTCCAATTTTATGACAATAATTGTGCCAGATAGGCAGACTGAGCTGGAGAGGTTAAAATTCAGACGGTTGTGTGTGACAAACACAAAGAAGGCCATTTTGTGGACTTAGTTTTGACCTAATAAGATGAGAAATGAAATGACATCTCACTGGCTGCCAAATTATGCCCTGTGTCATTTCGTTGATGTATTAGCTGATTGCATTCACCCTGTTTAACCTGAGGAAAGCACCCTGAGGTTTGTCGAAAATTGCAAGGCCACAAGGCAACAACATGGATATTTCCATGGAAATGGCCATGGGTTTAAGCCACATCTGACTGAACAGGGGAAATCTGAGAGTGCTTTCTATTGCATCTCCTCTCTATCTGGATGGTAAAATGACTGCATGTTGTTCAAATGGTCTGTTCACTTTCTCCTGTTGTACAATGACATTTTTCAATTCTTTCACTAACCAACACTGAATGAATGTCAGCAGCAAAACTTGCTGGTTTACAGGGTGAATGTAGGTCTTCATCTCTGCCTATTTAAATGAGGAGCATCATGACTATGAATCTATATTAGCATAAAATAGCTCACTGTAACAGGAGGGGCATTTTGCCAGAGATTTTCAGAAACACTCAACAGTTTGTGCCCTGACATGGGGGACAGTGCCTGAGGACCTTTTCAGACTCTTGAATTCATTGTAAATGAGCTGCTGAACAGAAGAGTTGTGCCTTAAAAAGAGGGCATTAGCGGTCAGAAACAATGAAAACTTGAACGTCTCCTATATGGAATGAGTCAAGAAACAAATCCACGAGGAAAATGGCAAATGTCCAGACTGTCTCTGGTTTTTACATCTGACATTTATGCATATCTCACAGTTTCTCTTTTGGCTCTACTATGAACGAGAATCCACGCTTTTGTATGTGTAGCAAAAGAAAAAGCTTACTTTAAAATGTTATTTTGTTGTCTGTGTTTCTAATGTAAACCTGGCAGGTGTTAAATTCTAAAGTGGTATACTTGAGGTACACAATGTTTTGCTGCTACAATGTCCTCTGTGAACTTTTTTTATTCATTTTCAGTTTGGTGATACATCCTTTTGGCAGCAATTCAAAATCTGACTGTGCTTTGCAATGATGTGTATAAAATGACTAATCAAGTGAGAATCTGTTCAGAAAACAGTCATTAATGCAGGTTGGGCTGGAAATTTGGTTTGACTAAAAAACGTTATGTATGTTGTGTTTCTCTGAGAGCAAAGGGCGCTCATAATGAAATACGGTAAATTACAGCTACACCAGCAACTGATATTACATCATCAAATGCTCAAATTATGTAAGGAATACTTGTTATAATTTCACCACTGCTTGCTGCATAATGTGTGAGAGACGGAGAGGAAATGGTAGAGAGAGAAACAGGACCTTGTTGAACTGTCTGACTGGTTGATGGTCAACGTGAACGACTTTAATTTTTGCGAAAGTGAAAGCAGTGTGGCATATCAGCCTACTTGTCATGCCAGTGTGTCGTGACAGTATAATCATGTCTTTAAAGTGACATTTCTGACCGTGTATTTGTTGGATGTTGGCACTTCTTATGTTATCATCAACAAGACAGATGCTATAGGATAACGTAGCCTACAAAGAACATTATTTTAACATACTGCACAGAACACAGCAGACTGGAAAATTATACGGAGAGAAAAACAAAATATCTTTTAGTCTCTCTATATGTCAAAATTGTTAAATGTCTCGAGCACTGGTGTAACTTCTGTTAGTGCAGTCACACAACATTCTACACTGATGTTAAGTCTTACTCTTATTTAGAACCTGGAACCAGTTGCATAAACTTGGTCACCATGTTATAACTGTGTCTTAAGAACTAGTCTGACCAATTACATGTGACAACTTGCCTGCTTACAAGACACATTTGACCCAGCTGTTCAGGTGGGCATGAAGACCACAAATGTATGTGTGTAGAACTTATCATTACCCAAAGGCACACTTGTAAAATGCCTTTAAGGAGCTTTATTTCCACAATTAAGTGATAAAAAGCAGTTGCAAACATTTTACAAAAAACATGATCATTTCTGAACCAATAAAATTGGTATAAAATTATTGGCAAAAATTTACGTTTCACTACCAAATTATATGTAGTATCTAATTAGTGTAACTGACATGTGGCATTAATTAGGTGTGAATTCCTGAACATAATGAATTATGTAATTCGCTTAGCCTCAAATACAGCTTTGATGTGGTACTCTCAGAAAAAAAGGTACACAACTTTCACTGCGGCAGCACCATATCAAAAGGTTTTAATGTGTACTATATGAACTATTTAGTGGTAAATAAGGTGCAAGCTTTTGTACCTTAGGGTACTGCCCCAGTGCCAGTGACAGCTTTGCAACTTTGGAGTGTATTTGAGATTTAGTGTGTGCTTTATTATTAGCATTATTCACACTTAGTCTTGCACACTTACTTCCTGTCGTGTGCACACTCTCAAGCAGCCAAGAACACAAGTGTAGGTATTAGAACAGGCCCAGTATCTTTACATACTTCAGTAACCATGGTAAAAGTCATAGGATACATTTTTTTTTGTTTGTTTTGTTTGTTTGTTTTTTACCTTTTTTCCCCTGCTGTCTTTTTACTGTTCGTCCTGTTCAACACTTCTTTACATTCCAAAAACTGCTACAATAAATTATAAAAAAATATACAGTATATACATTAATATATGAAGCTTTAAATTGTATTCTAAAACTTAACTAATAGTACCTTAACTTAGTTAATAGTTTAATGCATCCTTTCAGAATAAGTAAAGAGAATTTACATTTTGGATAGTTTTCCCGCAAATTAAAAATTCTTTCTTCATTTCATTAAAGATGCTTTGAAGAATGTTTTGAAGAACCAACCATTTTGGTTACCACTGACTTCCATAGATTGTATTTCCTTTGACATTTCTCAAAATATCTAATTTCTCAGAAGAACGACAGTCATACAGGTTTGGACTGACATAAGGCAGAGTAAATGATGAAATAAAAAAATGGGGGCATTATCCCTTTAAAGATGTTATGCATTTATGCATTTGTTAATTGCTGTTACATCACTGGTAATCAGTCTTAATGCTAGAGCTCTGAAACACCTATGTCAATAATATGCCTGCTATGTTAATCCTCTCTGTGTTCTCTTGGCAAGCCATGACGACATTTAATGTAATCTCAAGTATGTGCTGACAGTGTAAAATATACATGTTTGTGTGTGTTTGGGAAAAAGGGCTTGTGTGCACTGGCTGCACTCAGTGTCAATCTCCAGTTGCAGCACAGCATCTTTAAGAGCACAAATGTGCACAAGTATCTTGATAATGTTAACAGCCCATGGCCTCTGCCAGTTCTGTTTCTTTTTTTATCGAATTGTTCCTCTTTCAGCTCTTTGAAGCTTATTTTCACTCATCAAGTGGTAATGATAGCCTTGCGGTTAAAGTCAGCATGAAACAGAAGTTGCAATCAGAGGCGTCATGCCCTTTCAAAGTGAGGGGGCACGTGCCCCCTCAGATTTCTGAGCCAAGTGGATTTTGAATACAACTTCCAAAAGACAAAAAATAGCCGAATAATATTTTTTATATTTGATACAATCACACCGGTGTGATTAGATCGTTTAGTACGGCACATCACAAGCTGCTAAATTAAAATCTGCATTCGCTGACGCTGAGCCAGAGATAGGCGCGTTTTTACAGCGCTTTATTATAACCAATCACACACGATTCTGTTGAGCTTATGAATGCAATGGCCAATCAGAAGCGTTCAGATGAGTGTTCGCTGAAATGCGGTGTTTTGTTCACTCGCTCGCTGACTGAATACCTCTTTCTGGCGAATTCTCTCGTTAGAAACAACAAAGTGCAGATGTGCCTACGAATGTAACTAAGATATTCATTTCACAGTGTAAACAGCTTTTAATGGTAGTTTTTGTGAGTGCCTGAACTCTGGCTAGACTGAATGAAAGTGAAAGTGAAGAAAGTGAAGTGACGTGGCCAAGTATGGTGACCCCATACTCGGAATTTGTGCTCTGCATTTAACCCATCCAAGTGCACACACACAGTAGTAAACGCACACACACACACACACACACACACACGGAAAATGTTCTTTGATAATGTAAATGTTCTTTGCTCTCTGTAAAATGAAAGTGTTATAATTAGTAACTTACAATATTGTTATTAAATTCACATTAAATACAAAGTCAGTCGTATTAAAAATATTTTATGGCATGACACCCATATCTGGTACTTAAGTAAAAAGTCGTGTTTTTATGTGTAGTTAATAGATTACACTGTTAGTCTACTTTGCACATCACCATTTATTGATCAAATAACATAATCTATAAAGGTGCAAAATGCATTTACTTACACATATTTGAGAATTTAGATATTCCCTGATATAGTTAACACGTTTGGAAATATTTCGAATAAAAAGGAAAAAACAACAACAACATAAGCCTATATCAGTTATACAGTGCTATTGTGGCTGTGTGTCATGACCCTCGCGTGCCCCCTCAAAAATCATGAGTGCATGATGCCCCTGGTTGCAATCGTCTTTTCTTACCTATTGGGACATATCAGAGTGAAACAGCTTCTTGAACAAGAAAAAACTTACAGCACCAGGTTACCCTGTCCATGTAATAGCCGCATTGTGACAGGTCTGCTACTGATTAAGTAAGCAATAGAAATAATGAGTATTACACAGATATTTGCGTCATTTAACATAATTTATTGTACTGTGTGTGTTATTTTGATCTGTTTGTATATTATTTAAGGCTATGGTCTCCAAACACATCCCCTTCTGTTTTAACATATTCCAATCCTCTGCTATTGACATTTGGCTTTGGGACTCCTATGCTATAGGAATTTT